AGACTTAAAGTCACGAGTCGAGTTCCGAGTCAAGACTTAAAGTCTCGAGTGGAGTTCCGAGTCAAGACTTAAAGTTTTGAGTCGAGTTCCGAGTCAAGAGTTAAAGTCACGAGTCGAGTTCCGAGTCAAGACTTAAAGTCACGAGTCGAGTTCCGAGTCAAGAGTTAAAGTCACGAGTCGAGTTCCGAGTCAAGAGTTAAAGTCACAAGTCGAGTTCCGAGTCAAGACTTAAAGTCACGAGTCGAGTTCCGAGTCAAGACTTAAAGTCACGAGTCGAGTTCCGAGTCAAGACTTAAAGTCACGAGTCGAGTTCCGAGTCAAGAGTTAAAGTCACGAGTCGAGTTCCGAGTCAAGACTTAAAGTCACGAGTCCAGTTCCGAGTCAAGACTTAAAGTCACGAGTCGAGTTCCGAGTCAAGACTTAAAGTCACGAGTCGAGTTCCGAGTCAAGACTTAAAGTCTTGAGTCAAGTCCCGAGTCAAGTCCCGATGTAATATCTTATATATATTAGTAGTTTGCTGTTATATTAATGCTTTGAATGTCGTAAACCAGGGGTCTTCAACGGTTTTCAGACTAAGGACCCCCAAACTGATAGAGAGATGGAGCAGGGACCCCCAACTATATATATTGTATAAAATTGTGTTTTATATTAAACTGGACCTAGTGCCATGTATAAACATACCTCTTTATTGTGCATTCAATACTAAGCTATTCAAATAATACACAGGTTCATATATCCATGTTTTTATTTTAAACATGTGCAAGGTACAGTGAGTAGGGCGGCCGTGCCACTGCCATTTATAAACACACCTTGTCAGCTGATACCAATGCCAACATCAACATTGTCAATTGCATGATAATCATCATACAAGATATTCAAATTGACGTTTTCATTTTAAACATAAATGTGGAAACCAAAATGAGTGATGGCCTATTAGTGCCACTGCCATGCATAAAGATACCTGTTATCTTTCATACAATACTGGACTATGAAAATAATGGACAGATTCATGTTTAGAGAAAAACATTTTTTTTTTTTATTTGTCTAATCAACCAAAAATTTTGCGGACCCCCTAGGGGCCGCGGACCCCCTGTTGAAGACCTCTGTCGTAATCTGCTCCTTTAACATCAGTTTATTCAAGAAATGAAGAAAAAATGAATTGATTCGTGCATCACTTTTTAAGTAACATACTTCATAATCTTTGGGCTTGAGGGACGGTATCAAGTATTTTCAGGTGAAGTCACGAGTCATTGGTGTAAAGTCATGTGATTCATGTCACCACCTCTGGTACTTAGTGAGGAAAACATGCTTCTTTAATTTCTTCTTTTGCTTCTTCATTAGCAAGTAACGACCTCTCACCTCTGGCTCCTCTGTATGTAAACACACACACACACACACACACACACACTGTGCAACCTCGAGTCTCTGGTTGAATACTGCTGATAGACACCAGTGGAAGGGAAGCAGCAAGCAGCATTTAAAGCACTCACACACACGCTTATGTTGCACACACACACACGCGCGCTTGTGTTGCCCACACTTCTGGCTGTGTAGGTGGAGTCTCCATGGAAACCCGGAGCTTGAGTGTTGATACTCTGGTTCAGAGGATGATGAAGAGTCTGCTGCCCAAAAACAAACCTGCTCTGTTTAGTCTCATTCTAATTGTTCTATCCGTCGTCTTCTGTTTTCAAGAAACGAAAGAGCTAACCGCTAACAGACGCATAGCAACCAGAGACCTGAGGTCTTTTATTAGCTCGTCTCTCAGGGTCATGAGGCCGCTTGTTGTTTGTATTGCCAGAGAGGGGGGGGGGGACTATTCCAGGACTCTAATCCTCTGATGATATCTGGTCCCTGCATGTTGACCTGCAGCCTTAAAGATGCTGTTTCCACACGTCGTGGATAAACAGTTAAGTGTCGAGG